ATATATATATATACATATGTGCACACATAAGCAATAGGTTGGACTTATGTCTTTATTCAACCTCAAATACTATGTAACTGAAGCACAATGACTGAGCTCTGACAACAGAATAAACAGGCTGCATGTAGTCTGATCTCACACCAGCGCAGTGCTGCACTCCATGTGTGTCTCCCCGCAGCCTCCTTCTCCTATAATACAATGTGATTGATTTCCTACAGAGACGGTTCACATTGCAGAGTGAGTGTTCACTGAGCTCCTTCCCCCCTCAGCAGGTCCTGAGACTTTTTCTTTTGGTTATAAAGTTGTCTGCAGACATTTTCTTTCTGTGTATTGAATGATTGACTGTTGGTGGCTACGGGTCGTCTCACCATCCTCTCTCCTCTTCCCAGGGGCGCCCCGGTGGACTGCAAGTGGTTCAGTATGCGCCACAGCCCGAACATTGAAATGGAGATTCTCGGCAGCGATGCCTCTCAGCAGAAGGTCATCAATGGGGAGAAGCTGTGGCCCCTGTCCAGCAAGACCATGGTGGAGTTCCACATGACGCAGCACAGCGCGGAGATCAATGACGGCAAGGTGGGTCATGCAGGTGACCGGGGGTCTGTCAGGCCGGTTGATTTTAAATGTCACTTCTTGAATCGCTTCACCATAAACTGATTATTTGGCTATAAGTGGCTTCGGGGAGGCCGGTTCATTCACTGGCTTCGTAGGGGGATGCTTGCGGTGCCGCGGTGAAGTCTCCCTGCTCCGGTTACATTGCCTGTTATGTAAAATAAATGAAACTCCAAAAGTGACGGGAATCGGGTGTAGAGCTGTCACTGCTGGAGTGTCAGTTTTGGGTGGGCTGACCCTTCATCAGGATACGGGTGCAAAAAATATATCAAGCCTTTTTGTAGGGCAGGTAGGAGGGTCTTCCGGGTCGCCAACAATACAAATTCTCAGCAAACCTTTATTTATAAAGCACTAACCTATTCCATAGAGCTGTACGGAGGAGCAGGTCATTTGTCACTCAGTTGTTGTTCAGCCTGGTTGGCACCGATCAGAAAACTGGAAGATTTGGAATAAAACGGAAATCTCAGTGTTTCAAACACACCGGCAATGCGCAAATATCCCGAGCGGATAAAACCAACGGACCGCACAAAGAGGACAGACACTGGAAGACGTGGTTTGGCCTGTCTGCAAACTCCGCTCTCTGGTCTAATGGTAACATGACTCGGAATGGGCCGCAATGATTTACTTTTATTTGATCTTTTCCAGATAACCATCGCCTACTACGGAAAAGGGGCCGACGCTCCTGTGGATAAATCCGGAGTTTACCTCACAGGAATCGGTGAGTTATAAAACTCTGTTCACTAGACAGAAGAAGGCTTATTTCCAGGATGAATGGGATGGATGGATAGGTGGATGAGATGGAATAGATTGGATGAATGGGATGGGTGGATGAATGGGATGGGTGGATGAATGGGATGGGTGGATGAATGGGATGGGTGGATGAATCGGATGAATGGGATGGAATAGGTTGGATGAATGGGATGGATGAATGGGATGGATGAATTAGATGGATGGATGGATAGATGGAATAGGTTGGATGAATCAGATGGGTGGATGAATTGGCTGGGATGGAATAGGTTGGATGGATAGGTGGATGAGATGGAATAGGTTGGATGAATCAGATGGGTGGATGGATGGGATGGAATAGGTTGGATGAATGGGATGGGATGGAATAGGATGGATGAATTAGATGGATGGATGGATAGATGGAATAGGTTGGATGAATCAGATGGGTGGATGAATTGGATGGGATGGATAATTGGGATGGGATGGAATAGGTTGGATGAATGGGATGGATAGATGGATGGAATAGGGAGGATGAATGGGATGGGTGGAAGGCTGGATGGATGAATTGGATGGAATGGGATGAGATTGGATGAAAGTGGATGGAATGGAGGACTGGGATGGATGGATAGATGGAATGGAGGACTGGGATGGATGGATAGATGGAATGGAGGACTGGGATGGATGGATAGATGGAATGGATGACTGGGATGGATGAATTGGATGGGATGGATAGATACTCCCAACCAGTTTAGCAGTTTTGGAAGCAAAATAATTCTGTGACACCTGGTCTTCTTTTTTTTTTTCTTTCTTCTTGACCTTCAATCAATTTCCAGGCGATCATTTAGATATTAGAACTGTAAATATTTGAGGTTGAAAAAGGAAATCCCCCTTTTTTTCTTTTTTGTTATTGATTTTCCACTCCTGAATATGTGATAACGCATCCCGCTGCCTAACCAGTCCGCCTCTGCCTGGATGGTAGAAGGGATTTGCTAGGAGGTGCAGAGGAAAATCCCTTTGACTTTCAGTGAATTGTAGAAAAATCTGAGGGAAGATGCTGTATTTTTTTTTTCCAGCCCCCACTGCCCGGTTCAGGGTCTTTAAGATCCCTTCAAAGATATATGTGTCATGTCATACAGCGCACGCACTCTTCAACATTCTAGCGTGACAGGGACTCCCGGGATATTCCTGGTCAGCTGTGACAGAGCAGTACTGACTGATTGATAGTTCACCGAAGTCTCCGTGGTGGAGATGTAACTGCAGGACATTCTCAGCGAGCCGGGATCAAAGTCGCCTTTTAGATCTATGTTTGTCCCAATGCTTAAATGTACTTATTGCTGACTGACTCTCTACCTCTGCTGGAAGTCTGTTCATCAGCTACTCTTACAGTCAAATAATAATTTCTAAGGTTA